TTTACTGGTTTTGCTTCTCCAGAGAACCTAGCCTAAGACCACCTGCAATACACAAACGACACAACCTAGCTTGCTGAAAGTGAAGAAGACTTGAAGCATTTTCTGATGAAGTTCAGACCACATTCTTCAATATGGAATATATCTCAACATAGAGAAAACAAAGTCCTCACAACGACCAACAGGCAACATCATGCTAAATGGAGAAAAGTTGTCAAGGGGTTAATTTTACTTGGATCCATAATCAAGACCCATGGAAGCAGTAGTTGGACTATACTGGGCAAAAAAGCAGATAGACTGCATTTGGCAAATCTGCTAAAAAATACTTTAAAGCATTAAAGAGTAAAAATGTCACTCTGAGGATTAAAGTGCACCTGATCCAAGCCATGGTATTTTCAATCACCTCATATGCATGCAAAAGCTAGACAATGAATAAAGACCAAAGAATCTATGATGATCTATGATGGTGGTAAAGAATATATTGAATATACCATAGGTCGCTAGAAGAATGAACAAACCTTGTCTTGGTGGAAGTACAGCCAGAGTGTTCCTTGGAAGAGAAGATGACAAGGCTTTTGTCTCAAGTACTTTGGAGATTTATCTGGTGAGACCAGTCCCTGGAGAAGGACAGCATACTTGGTAAAGGGTCAGTGAAAAAGAGGAAGACCCTCAAGGAGCTGTGTGGACATCGTGATTGCAACAGTGGGCTCACACACATCAAGGCCTGTAACGATGGCACAGGACTGGGTAGTGGTTTGTTCTGTTATATGGAGACTTGCTAGGAGTTGGAACCACCTATATGGTGCCTAACAACAACATATACAAAAGCTTTGGAAACAGATGTTGTTGTTGTTGTGGAGTCGGTTCCAACTCCTAGCGACCCTGCACAGGGTTTCTGAGGCTACATAAAGCATAAATCTTTATGGGAGCAGAATGCCTCGTCTTTCTCCCACGGAACCCTGGTAGTTTCGAACTGCTGACCTTGAGGTTGACAGCCCGACTCGTAACCACTACACTACCAGGTTTTAAATCTAATTTTAACAAGTCCAGAAAGGTTTGGCAATGTAACTTTGGGCAAGTAACTATATATTTCTAAGCCTCAATGTGGTCAGAGAAATGGGGATAATCTACGCACATCATAGGGTTGTAGTGATTCAATGACTAATGGGAATAAAGTACTTAGCAGGCAGAAAGGACTCAATAATGTGGGTTATTATTCTAGCTATTATCTAAGAGGTTAGGATATCTTTAAATAGTCCCATGTGTATCATCCTGAACCACTCTACTCCTATTGCTGTAACACTCAACCCACATCACTCTTTTTTCTTTTTCTAAACTAATAACATATTTATCATTTTGAACACTTCAACAAATTTCATGTGCTTTGTAGTTTCTGACATCCAGATGTGGCTTGGTCATTTATTTTATTATTTGCAGAACTATCATTTTAAGAGACAAGTTCAGTATTTTAACTCTTATAAGGAAAAGACAGAGTATATTGCTTTACAATTGCCACAAATTGGTTTCTAGCTTTTAAATACCAATTTTGGCCCATGGCAAAATTATAATGTATATAAATATATATATCATATACCAAGTACGGATCACATTTAAGGTTTTTGTTTTTAAAAAACTTGTATTTTCAACAAGCAGATGGTTGGCTACAGTTTTTATTAATATATACTGAAAATGATACATTAAGTATTGGTTATGGATTGAATTGTGCCCCTCTTAAATATGATCATTTGGAATAGGGGTTTCTTGTATCATGCTAATGAGGCCATTATCAGAGTAGAGTGGGTCCTAAACCTAATTACTTCTGAGTTCAAAAAGAGCAGAACAGACACAGATACACACAGGGGGAAGACAAATGTCATGTGAAGAACCATCTATATGGAAGGGAATGCCAGATTGCTAGCAGATACCAGAAACAGGAGAGAGGCCCACAGAAATCTAGATGGCAGAAATCCTGATTTGAACGTTTTTCTCCAAAATCCTGAGGAAATAAGTTTGTGTTCTTTAAAGCCACCCACTTGAGGTATTTATGTTATAGCAGCAGCAGGGAACCAAGGCATGAGATGCTAGGGGTACATAATATACAAGTTAATGAGTGATATTTGCAAAAACATTCAGCCTTGAGCACTAGACCATTCAAAGTAGTCATTTCAGCTGACTTCTTCATTTATTTTCAGAAAATGCTGCCTAGCACTCAATGAATTTTGAGAACTACTTCGGAACTCTTTTTATCTTTGAGGGTGAATTTTTATAACCAGATAAATGTCTGTAGAGGTAATTCTGATGAAGAAGGTAGCAATGGAGTTTGGTAACATTTCTGGAAAAACATACACACCACAGATTCGGCCATAAATAAACAAGACTGACTTTCTTGGGTGGTTCCAAAGCTGCGGATGTGTAAATTCCAAGAACGTTTGCAAAATGTTCTAGGCAGGCTGCAATTTCCTAAAGATTCTAGCAAGAGCTGTTGCTGAGCCTTCCAAGTCATCACTCTGAAGGGCAATACTGATTCTAGTACAAACATTTTGGATCCTTTTCTGGGGAGAGGTGGAGGGCAGGGAGATAAGTAAGAGACGATGGAAGATCTATTATGATCATGCCATGTAAAACTAGAAATGTAGTTTTGGGGATTAAAAATTAAAAGACTTAATATTAAACATCCCCAATTTCACTCTGGATGCCTGGGATGATCCTTTTGGGATCCCCCTGTGACCAGTACCTGAGGTTTGTGAAGGTGAAAGAAGGTGGTTGGGCTAACGCCATGATCACAGTAACTGACCTTTTTATATTAATCTAATTTCACCAACTCCCCATCTAAACAAACAAACAAATAAATATGAGCAATAATGTCACAGAACAGAATGGAATCGTGTTCTTTCTTCTTGGCCCAAGGGTTACTAGGCGAGGGAAGAGGCTACAGGATGGGGGTCTCTGTGATGGCCCACCCACAGGGCGATGAGACTCGCTCAGTCAGACTAGGAAGACCTGGCCCCCATCAGTGCGACCTTCACAGAGCCTCTGCTGCAGCCTCGGATTAGAACCCACCATCAGAGACAGAAGGGTGATAAGCTGGATGAGGGTCCCGGGCTCTGAGAGGCTAGCAAGGGCAGGGACAGCTTCCTAGGGTGCGCTCGGGGGCGGAGCCTGGGTTTAGGGAGGAGAGATCGTAATCCTCGAAGGCCAAAGAGGGAGGTGTGCGCTGCCCTGGGATGGAGAGATGAGGGTCCCAGACCTATCCAAGATGAGAAAGTGATCGAGAACAGGGTCGCGTTTCTTTTGGGTGTGGCGGCGGCGGGGTGGCGTTAGGCCTGGTGTAGGCTCTACCACAACTGCCCATCCCTCCCGACCGTTAACCTGAGATTGTCTTTCGCCTCGGCGGCTCGATTCCGGTCACTGCTGTGGGTGCCGCCACAGCCTCTAGGCTGCTGGGCCATGCCCAGTCTGAGTGGGTCAGGGCTGCAAAACTTGGACTCGACTTCATCCAATAGCTCGTCTAGATCCTTCGCCATCTTGAATCATCAGGTCTTTCTCCAGCTCCCCACGCCACAGCGCCGGATGGTTTCTAGGGGCAACGCAAGGATCTGCAGCTGCGTGCGCACTCGCGCCAGCTCCGGATCCCGCGCATGCGCAGGCCGCCCCACTGGCTGCTCGGCGGCCCTCGGAGGGTGGAGGTTCTAACAACGTTGTAGTGCAAAAGTACGTGGGGTCTGCGAATCTGGGCCGCTTCCGCTCTCCGTGAACGCGTGGGTCAGAGCTTTCTGTTCTGGTGTGACTTGGAGATTCTTCGATTCTCTTTGTTCCAGCTTGTTTGGCGTTTCGTCCCGTCTCCCCCTCCTGGATCTAAGTTGTAAGCACAATTACAAAACTCCCTTGTTCCCTTGTCCGTTCCTGTGTCGACCCTCTTATTCCCTCTGTTATGTTTCAGTCAGTTGTTGATTCTTTCTAAGTAATCTGCAGAAAAGTGGGGAAGACCTTGCAGAAACAAAAACACAAACACCAGCGACAGGTATCAAAACAGTATCTCCGTAGTCGGCAGGATTCGAACCTGCGCGGGGAGACCCCAATGGATTTCTAGTCCATCGCCTTAACCACTCGGCCACGACTACTGCTGGTGGCTGTTCTGGCAGTGACAATCTATGTAGACTCTACGTAAGTACATTTTGGAGTCTGGAGAATAACTTTCTTATTATAGCAGATTTGAATTTTATAACTCTAGTAGTTTGAGCTTTTGAAGACGAACAAATTCCTTCAGTCTTTTCCTTACCCGCAAGGAAAACGAAATTCCAGTAAAATTTCCAAATTTAAAATCAGAAAACGGGATGAGAGAAAGGAAGGGAAATTCCGACACTACTTTATACCCACGCCACAGTGATGGAACCATTTCAAAAAGGAACCTGGAATCGTGAGGCCTGCGAGGAGCAGACTCCGGGCTGCCTTGCTGGACTCCCAGCACCACCCCTCTGTCTCTCTGACAAACAGCTCCAGGGACTCTGTCACTTACCAGACTTGCTAATCCCTACTGCTGTAAATTCACTATGCAATTCAGAGGGCCCCACCATTCCATTAAGGTTCTACTTTGGAAAGTATTGCCAATTACTAGTATTCCTAAAATATTCTCCACGGTATAACCTGTACTTCCAAAAGAAGGTAGTAAACAGGTTATTATTCTTGGAAGCTCTGAAGATAGTTTGATCCTGATGACTTAGTAGCTTCATTTATATGACTTGTAATTTGTTCAAAATATGTTTAAAATCCCTTCAGAGCAACATGTGCCGGAGTTGTTGGTACCTGCTAGAGCTCACCTTTAAATTTTCATATATAAGACCCAGTTGTTACACACCGTCATTATTAACAATTCAGTTATGTAAACTTATGTTTGAATGAAATAAACAGATAATACTTATCACTCCAATCTTCCTGCAGTTTATGCTGTTTAGTTTACTTACATCTATTCTATGGTGCTGTGGGTTAATGTGCCAGACTGCAAAGCAGTTTGAACTTCAAGGTCTGAATGTGCCAGACTGCAAAGCAGTTTGAACTTCAAAGTCTGCGGTTGAAGCTCACCAGCTGCTCCTCGGAAAAGGAAACCCTATACAGGGGTTGCTATGGGTCGGGACCCACTCGACAGACACTTAACAATATCTGTTGGTGGACAATATCTGTTGTTGGTGGTGGTGGTTATGTGCCTTGGAGTCGGTTCGACTCATAGTAAACCTGTACCTGTACAGGGTTTCCGAGGTTGTAAATCTTTACGGGAGCAGAAAGCCTCATCTTTCTCCCATGGAACAGCTGGTAGTTTCGAACTGCTGACCTTAAGTTTCACAGCCCAATTGGTAACCACTATGCTACTAGAACTCCTTGTGTTTATGTGTATCTCTTCTTGATTTCCCATTCAACAATGTCACTTGAGTACCTTGAAATTCCTAGGTGGGTGTATTTGTACCTGGGAATTGTCAAATGGTACAAAAAACGTGGGTTTTCCTTTTTAAGTAAGGATTGTTAAACATTTAGCTGCATACCACTAAATGCTACCATTAGAACAACTTTGAATATTCCTAGCAAGACAATTACAGAAAAAGCAAAACTAAACAAAAACCAATTTAACACAATTAGCAGGAAATCATACAATATGCTGGAATTCTATGGCTAAAAAAAGCTGCAGGGAAGGTGAATAACCAAAGCAGCCCTACATGTGGATGCAGGGAGAAGTCGGGTGGGCCTTCTACCTTTTCTTTCTTATATAGGAATATTTTCCCCTCAGGAGAGCATCCTCTCTTGTTAAAATGCAGTAATACATTTTCACTGATTTGATTACACCTAAGCAGAAATTGGTTTGTAAGATTTATTATTGGTTACCTAAAATGCAGAGAGTAGAGACTTGAAGGAATATAATGTCTGTAAGGTAAGTTAGGAGTTCTGGTGTGGCATTGTGGGTTAACATGCTGGACTGCAAAGTCTATTTGAACCGCAAAGTCAAGCTTACCAACTGCTCCTCAGAAACTCTATACAGGCTCAATATGGATTGGAACTGACTCGACAGCACTTAACAACAAAAAGAACAACAAGATAAGTTTTGGCAGGTGGAAGATAGACGGGGAAGGTAGATTCTTAATCAAGTGGCTCATCATAGAGGGAAACCTGAGATTCTAAAAGAGTCTGGTTCTGGGTACCTTTGTGAGAAGGAGGGGAAGACAGGAGGAAGCCAAGGTTTTCAGTATTTTAGATGCTGGAAAAGGAAGAGGTAGAATTCTGAAGATGACTTCTGTGTTTACCCTACTCTTGGCCATGGGCTGGTCTCCTTGGGAAAAGCAAGTAAGTTTAACCAGAGCTGAGGCAAGAGGTCTGTTGGCGACCCTATCTACTATTACTGTTGTTACTACTCAGGATCTGTTGACTTGCATTTTACCACTTTTGTTCTTCCTCAACTTCCCATGCAATTAAAAAAATTCCCCTGTATTATGTACATTTTGTTGGTTACTTTAAATCATTTTATTTTATTTTTTTTGGTAATAAGACAACGTATTGCTATTAAGTGCTGCAGAGTCAGTTCTGACTCATAGTAATCCTATGTAGGTTTTTGAGGTGAGGCTAGTGTATTTGAACCACTGACCTTAGGTTAGCAGTTCAGCACCACACCAGGACCCTAAGACAGCATATAAATAAACAATTACATATATTTAAATTTCTTCCTCTCTGTGTGCACATCATCTCCTAGATCTGGAGGACTGTGAATTTCCATAGAGCAGACTTGATGATTTGATTCTAAGGGTCCCCTGTGTTCAGTTGTATAGTTCCTTGAATTTACTTGCTATGACTTTTCCACCAAGTGATTGGGTGAGAGCATGCAAATAAGGTACACAGGACTCTAAGGCTGAGATTGATTAGTTTTGCCATCCAGCTAAGTTTAAAAGAAGTCATCTCAGAAGCAGGAAAAGACAACCCCAGGACCATCAAGAAGGAAGACTGAGAGTGGAACATGAGGTAACTACCTAGAAAAGCAGCAACAGCATTGGCCAAGGCAGAGGCGGTAGCATGGAGAGACAGAGGAGTTGTGAGCTCTAGGTGCTTGGACTGAGTAAAACTGAGTGCCTGTGAGATGGGAAGGAGACTGACTTGCAGAATGTGCTCTTTGGACATTCACTGACTATCTGAAAAAGCTTTGTAACAATTGTTCAATTAGGGTTGAGGCCTAGGGGCCACATGGCTGAGAGGCCAGAGTCAAGAGTGAGGCCCGCCTGACTGGAGAACTGCTGTGTCCTGAGTTTTTCTGATCCTGAATTGTACCCTCTTCATGTCCCTAATAAACCCCGTAATCGTGAGTATCGTCATGAGTTCTGTGTGGCCATTGCAATGGATTGTTGAACCCAGATGTGAAGCAGAGAGTGCTGTGGGAGGGATGGTTGGTGTTAGAATAAAGATGGTTGTAGGCTGGAGGCATGTCTGACCTCCACTTATAGGAATTGGGCTTGGGCTGATTTTGAATTTGATTCTCTTTCCTCCTTGTGAAACCAGAGGAAGTCAGACATGGCTTCCGTGTGGTTACTGCAAGTTGCCGCCTAAAATCTGAGTTCAGCACCAACCATGTTTTATTCCTCAGGGGTCACAGGATTGAAGATGACCTGGGGATAACTTCAGAAGAGCTTCTAGTTGGGAGTGGTGGTATGTGTGTGTGTGTAGGGTGCTGGTGGTGGTGGTGGCTGTGGTGGTGCTCAACCAGAGTCTAGTGAGTATACATGAAACTGACTTTCAACGAAAACCAGAAAAAAACGTTGGACTTCTTGCACTTGATATTGAAACTACTGGCATTGTGGCTCCAGGGAAGTAATGCATGCTGCTATCCAGTTTTGTTGTTGTTGTTGTTATGTGCCGAGGATCCAGTTTGACAGGATTAAATTTATGTTTTAATTTTTCTTTACAAAAGATGAGATGTGAGGTAGTATATATCAGTAGTTCAAAGAATCAATCAGCCTCCAAAAGACTTGCAGAAAAGACTGAAAAAATAAATGAGAAAACGTTTTATTTGTAAAGTATTAGAAACAAATTTATAGTTCCCTCTTTCCCTGCTCCCACTCCCACTCCCACTCCCATCCTAATAAAATACCAGTATAGATCATCCGAAGTTTGGCATTTCGAGAATTTAGTTTATAGTTCATTCAGTTTTCTAGTGGGTCCTTTATTTTAGTCAAGTTCAGAGTTTATAGGAGAAATGCCACACATCACGTAAGTGTGACACATGTGTATGTATATGTGTGGAAAAATGTAAAATGATAGATAATGCAGTATTAAACATCCCCAGATGTCAGGAATGGTATCAGAGTGAACTTCAGTGGAGTCTCAACAATGAATCATAAAGAACATAGATAGGGCTTTAGAAGACACCTCAACTTTCATGCACATTGTAGTAAACAAAATACTAAACTCACTGCTGTCTGAGTTGATTCCTAGCAACCCTGATAGGGTTTCTGAGGCTGTACATTTTTATGGGAGAAGAAAGCCTCATCTTTCTCCC